TAATGTTCATTATCCGATTGAAAATGACGAATGAGTACGATTTCAGTTTATAATACAAGACGATTAGTAATTTTTAACCGACATCAAAAAGGGAGGTTCTCAATTCGGATGTATTTTTTTTGTGTGTATGTTACGCGATTACTTCGGCATTTGTGAACCGATTTTGATGATTCTTTTTTTGTTGGAAATATTGTACCCTTTAAATGGCGAAGAAAATATTCTACCTCTAAAGGTGGCAAACTAAGTGATGAATCCGGTTTTGCACACTTTCCGGTAACCGATTTCAATAAAACTTGGCAAATAAATGTAATTCCACTAACTAAAAATTATTATATGTTTGACATAATAGTAATAATAACGCACACATTCAACATAGCCCCGCACTAGGGAAATCCTGTGTCGCGGGTACCATGGACACACACAAATTACACCCAAACTCACGAGAGAAATAAATGTAGGTCATACAAATATTTCTCCCGGCCCGGGAATCGAACCTGAGACCTCTGCGTGGCAGTCCGGCATGGTAACCGTTCGGCCACCGAGGCAGTTAATTTAGAGACAGTTACCCTTTTACAAATGTAAAGAATCTGACATACCCACCTTGTGTTACACGTGGGCTTGTGCGAAGATAATAAATAATATGTACCTGGCAAAGCAGATGTGAAATTTCTATAAAAAAAAGTCAACTCCAATAGTGCCAACGTAAACAATTTATTTTGTAACATTAGGAAGCTCAAAGCTTTGCACGCACCTGATAATGTTTCCCTAGTCCATGCACGTGTTTAACTGCGATGTGTATCTTTTGTGACTGCGCTCAGATTTAGTTAGCCATGCGATTATAAACTCAATGTTTTTATTATACAAACTATGTTCCCGTAAAGTCCCCGATCAGCGTCAGGTCTGGTTTTTTTATAGAGCGTGCCACCTGGCCTTTTTTCCTGGCCATAGAATCCATTGAAAGGAATGAATCACTTTTGTTACAACGGCGAATGAGTGGCCGCTTACAAAGTTATAGGCTTAGCAAAAATGCTCGATTGAATGATTCAATGTCGCGTTCGGTTTCAGTATAATAATTTGTAATTAGATTTTGTATGATATTACTTAAGTTTCAATCTAATCGTGGATTAATTACGTAATGAGTACCTACTTAAAAATGTTTATTTGCAAATTACATGATCGTTCAAGCTGTGTCACATAAAAAATATATTGCACGTTAACTGTGTCACGATAAATTAAAAATAAGAATTGTGACGGATTTCCGCAGCAATCTCTATATGAAGTTGCGTTCTGAATATGTTCAAAGTTTGTAGAATCAAACGAAAACTAGCATTACCTCCTGAAATAGTTAAATTTATCGCTACGGTTTTTAAACGCGATTGTACGTTAATGAGATTTATATAAGTGGTCTATTAAAATTGATCTTTACTTGACGGAGTCTGAAACTATTTGACGTTGCATGACGGCAAACACGCGCGAGAGGGTCCCGAGGTCGACGCTCCCTTCGCCCCCAAGCTGGCACCTGGTTGTCCTTCCTCCCTTCTTGCGAACAGATGTTTAGCTCTCCCAAAGAATCCCTCCGCCCCTTGATTCTATTTTTACAAATGGTTTTAGATACACAATGATCCCGTGTATAAAGAATTAATTAGTCTCAAACCTGACCCTATAGCTTGCTTGCAATGGGCCATAAAGTGTTTTTGAGTTCCTAATTGACTGTAACGTCATAAGGGCAGTGATTAATTATTGATTGTAAATTATAAAGCTTTAATTTTAGTAAAATACATTACCTACAAATTTGCTACTTCAAGTCTGAAATAGTTACCAAAACCAGTTTGTAAAATGTCAGCTCAACCTGCTACAAACACTAGCTTCGCTTTATGTAATGAATCTGAATTATAAAACGATTTTAATTGTATGTACGGCATTAACGATGGAAAAACGCTATATCCTTGTACGATGTAAAACGGTAGTAAAATGGAGAAATGGACCCACGAATCATGATGTGGTGTTTTTACGAAGGCTGCTATCGTTTACGACCGAAAGGAATGCCGCCCTAGAGAAATGAAGGACGCACAGAAAGAGACAGACTGCAGGAAATGGGTAGGGACGCCGACCTGTAGAGATTTAACGGGTCTCTACAGCCACTTAATAAGGTATTGGGATACTTAGTTGACAATAAAGACAAAGTTTAAGTCAAGTACTCCCTATTTACTAATAAAGGCCATCTCTGTTAATGAGTCCAGTGGCAGCTGTGCAAAATTATATGCTATCGCACTTTATTTCCTTTATTAGGTACAGTATTGTTCTGAACGCCGAAGTTACATCTATCGTCTAACGCCGAGGAAGTAACTTCCAGCTTAATAATTTTAAGTATCCAGTTCCCATTAGAAATTTACCTATATACAATAAGTTGCATGTTTTAAGTAAGAGCGTTTTGATTCTACGATAATACGTACAAAATATAGTGAAATCCATCTGTGGTATCTGGCACAAAATCGCATTGTTTACTTTTAACGTCAATGCTTCAGGTAGGCGTGGACTTACTAAACAGGTCAAATAAAAGATTTATTTTCACAAGAATTTCTCAATGACGCCAAAACCTTTCAGGCTGTTTTTGTGCAATGTATTTATTACATTTTGCTAATTGTCAACCGTATTGACGAAAATTGAGAACTTATACTTCGCGTTTTATTTTAACAGATGATAGGTTTACCGCCAAATGGCAAATGTGCAGGCTATCAGACATGGCGCTGTTCTTAAAAGTATGTGTGTCGTCGGGCCCAGTCGGGTGGTCAAAATTTTCGTGCAACGGTTCTGGGCCCCGCCTCGCGATTTGACGCTTTCTTATCTCGTCAAACCACTCGCGTACTTACATTTACTTACCTCCGTATGATTTAGTCTCTGCTTTACTACTTTCCAATATCCGATAACATGTTGTTTGCTTCTCTTTTTGTCTCTATAAGTTTATATTAGAATTCCATTGACTTTAGACGGAAAATATGTAATTAATGCTTCATTGTTTTATTGATGCATACCACTACTATTCAATTTGTTTATAGTTGGTTTCATTTCATTAAATTAGCTGCTTCGCATTCATGTGCTGTTTTTTTATCTATTCGCACAGTTTATCAATTAAATTGTCCATTTTCTCTTCTGTCTGAAAACATGAGTTTGTAAAAGCTTTTTTGCCACGCTAAAGGTCGTCGGCATATTCCGTTAAGGCCATTTTGTGCAGACATTTTATTGCCACACTCTGTACTACGTACCAATTCACAGCAAGGCCGCTATTATACATAATTTTTTAAAGACGAATATAATGCCACTAATAATGTATTTATTCCTTTCGCTAGATAACTAATCAGCCGTGTAGTCACCTGTACATAAACCCAAACTCCGATTATATGCACACTTGTCAAGATAAAATTTATTATAGGCTTAACAAACAAAAAAAATTATCCTAAATTACATTATTTACCCGCAATCTACCAGTCAAGTCATTACAATCTCCGCAATAATTTTTTTTATATGGCATACTTAGGAAAACTAAAATAATGTGCCCTCTCTGAGAGCATTGCCAACCTGGAGCGATAACACATGCTTTTATTGTGTTCTTATTTATAAGGTTATATAACAACGTCTTAACGCAGTAATATACTTTGGAAACCTTAAATTCATTTATGCAGTTTACTTTTTTGGATCAAGTTTTAATTTTTAATCCGATACGACCTTGCCCGTTCAAACTGGTTTTGTTTAGTATTGTATTAGTAAACACATATCAAAGTCAATCAAAGCTAAATATATTTACAAGTTTGTTTAAAAAAGATCTCACTAAATAAACTAAATGCTCCATAACAGCATCTTAAAACTAAATGTCAGTATCAAGGTGAATTTATGTATGGACACATGCTCATATCCAGATGTTTGTTTAATAGCCGAGTGTACAAATGTTAGAGGACAATTAACATATCTAGATCGTGGAATTATAATAATAAATCGCTTTTAAAATGTCACATTGAAAGTTTGCAATAACATTTGCAATCACCATTCTTCCACAAAATTGCCAATTTAATGCTCACGTTACGTCTGACTTCCGACCGTGCGAGCCCTTTAAGAGTCACGGCCATGGACGCCACCAGTTCCGGGTCACCCCCCTCTTCGTCTAGACAGCAATGCAACGCAAATTTCACATTGAGCTCGCTAGTTAAGTAAGTAAAGCAATTTTTAAGTTTACATCATCAGCTCTGCTGCCCAGCCTAGTTATGTTTCTCGCGTTCGACCATCGTGGTTGCACAACGGCGACTTGCCGACACTTGCTTATTGTGGCCAACCAGACTCGTTGCCCAACTAGTTTTGCTTCTTGTCCTCTAATTGCGCCTTTTGATTAGGTTATGCCAAGTAATTATGTGGAAATTTAAACACTTTCTTGGAACCGAGTTAAAAATGTCCGCCTTATTTGCCATTAAATAATTTAGTGAGGGTACGAACCATAGGGAAGTCTGTGACGTAAAATCGACTGTTTAATTTACACTGATGCACTGAAGTGTGACGAAAGAGAGATTTGTGTAGATTATTACGTACAATCACACTACATAATAACAAAAGGTTATACACGATATTTGACCTGTATTTATCAAGTCATTACGTCCTTTTGTTTCTACAGGCGTTAACTACGAAGCTTGTGTTAAATTCGATACTTGTTTGAATTGGCTACACTTGTGCAATAAAGGATGATGAATTGTATATTGACGTACTTGGCTATGGTCATTCCTGCTGATTGTATAATGTGTCTGTTTTGCTCTTTCGTTGCATTATCCTTTAATATTTGCCTTGTGAGCCCCTTATGTGACATCATTGTGTTTTCCAGCGGTTACCAGTAACCGTTTATAGTAATAACTAAGTTGTAGATTTCTATTGGTTAATACCGTCTCGCGCATTGACATTGACTTATATAATTCATAATACGTGCCTAAACACCCAAGCTAATCTTCATCTTTTTGTTTCAGGACAAATTGGCAAAACCTACGATACAGTTCCTACCCGGAAATGAAGGGGTGAGTATATCTGGGTTTAATATGACTCCGTTTCTTTTATTACTTCAATAGTTTTTCCGTGTAATTAATTAAACAGTGTTTTAAATAATACTGTTCTATGACGCTTTTAAAAGATTTTAATTAGTAAGTGAGCAGTACCTCGAAAGTTGCTTCACAACTTCACAATCAGCTGTCAATTGCATTTTGTAGGCCTCTGTAACATAATCTACTCTTTTTCCTTTTAGATTTCTCAAGATTGATGATATAATAATGAACTCTAATGCACGTACTTATCCGTACAGTTTACATAATACCATGACCTTATCACTTCGGACATTACAAGTAATGGTTGAGAAATGAACTTTATTGATGGCGTATTAATTCGAAATTTATAGCTTATTATTTTATACTTGATTAATTAATTTATTCTCAGTTGTAGATTAATGAATGCAAAATTACTAAAAGTGATAAAATTGCTTTTTAATTAAAGATAGACTACGTATCACAACAAATTAAAATAAAAACAGTTTAAAATTGTACGTAACTACTAATAGTAAAGATATTCAAAGCCTGAAATGATAAATTAACGAAGACCAAGCGATAATACTTATAATATAGGGTCCATTAAGTAATTATTCTCTGAGGTCATAGATACAATTTTGGTTATTAAATTTAGGGAAACGTAACTAAAGATATGGCAAAAACATCTCACACACATACATATATTATGTAGTTCTGCCTTCCGAGTAATAGTTTAACTTTTTTAACCTTACGCATTTATTATTTACATATCACCTTGACGATATAGCCGTACGAGATTTCGCTCAAATTCTCTCAATAGACTTATAATTATTTTATTATTTATAATATACTGAGTTGTCATATATATTCATATACATATTAGCGTCATTATTTGAATTAGAAAAGTAAACAGACTAATTCCCAAGTCGAATCACAATCAGAGCGAATAATTTGAAACGTCAATTTTATGGTCGAAGCCTCTGTCTTGGTCAACGCGTCAGAGTAAAGCTTTACAATTGAAATTTTTGGCTTTGTAATGGAATAGAAATAATTTACTCAATTTACAACCTTATAACGTTGCAGTTACAAAATAAAAGACTTCAAATTTTCTTAAATGTTTTGCAATAGTAATCATGGAACTGTTTATTAAAAGTTACGATGAAACATTGAGGGTAAAGGAGATACTCTTATACTCTTCCTAATCGACCAGGACTCGTCAGGAACCGAAGTCTGATGGCTGGTCGGGACCCAAGCCTTGATGCGCCTCAAGTGCCTCAAGCCTCGAGCGTACCAGTTAACGCTAGCAGCACTCGGTACGCTTGCGAAATTACATGTTGACCCACTTAGTCAATTTCATTTTACTTGCTTGTCGTTGGCATTCGTTTATATACTTTTACCCTCTATACCATTTCGAAAAGCGGCTGTCGAGCGCCCTGCACCCAGAGGTACGAACATCGAGTACACCTTCACGCGCTCGTGACGGCCTTGCCATTTAGGCCTACTGCACACTCGTTCTGAGGCTTCGTAACTGACAGACGATGTCATTCTTTTTGATGGCTTATTCGATTTAAAGAAGTCCCAGCTGCGTTACTGCACCATTTTTAAAGAAATAAATGGTAATGTCCTTTCCACGATAAACCAATCCCTAGCGCTTTTGTTTATCTTCGTAATGATTCGTTACGCCTTCCTATACGATCAGTCAAACCGTATTCGAACGGGGCAAAAATGAAGCAAATGCAATTTTGTTTACAAGGTGATAATCCCCGGTGGATCCCAGCGCCGACGATGACCGGCGCCGCCGACCGGTTTGGTTGTTGCCACCGCTCGCTCGCTCCACGCCTCGCTTGCCGGTTTGACGTGATGTCTCCTCTTATTGCTCGTAGCGAGTCACCCATATCGTATTGTATAAACGACCGCGCAAACCTTACAGTCCATTATTTAATTGATTTAGTTTCAGTGATTCTATTTTTATTCGTTCTTTTAATCAAAATTAAAGTCATGTAAATCAGTCGTTAAATTGTAGCAATATTTCAACCTTGGCATTGTGTTGTTTAATAGTTTTTAAGAAGTCTTCGAAGATGAACGTTATTCCCAGAACCGTTTGGCGTTTTATAATTCTTCGAATATCAGCTATCAGTGTGTTAAGTCAGAGGAGAGCTGGCACATATCCAACTTGCACATAATAACCACAATTCAATGAGTCGCGGACCAGAATAGTAAATAAGATAGAGTGGTGTAAAAATAGCTGCCGTTCCAGTCGCTAGCAAGCATGCGAATGCACCTCTCAGGTGCGTCGACCGGTGCGGTGTCCCCCTTCGCGCCACTTGTGTACGTGTACGTCCCTCGATACTTTTATTGTCAAACGATTCTGTCGCCCGAGTCGCTTTTCATTTTTACACCCCGATTTAACAATTTCCTGTAACTTCTTTTTCTGTTTCATTTGTATCGATAACGAAGACAGGTACAAAGTTGCTGACAGTGCTCTTGGACACGGCTAATGTCCTGAAGACAATGAACTTCGATTCCAGTTTATTGATCCTTATTGTTTCTCCTTATTGGGAATCAGCATTTTAGAATTTTAGCAGTCCTTTCTATCTAATGTGAAAAATCTGTCCTCTATCGATTATTATGAAAATTGTATTAACTTATTTCATAACAGGCGGATTACTTTGGCCTTGAAGTTACCACCAGCAGCAAAAATATTGTACAATTGAAGATACCGGTCGACTATCGCAAAATATATTCGTATCAATTGTTATCGTGCAATCGGAGGACTCTGAATGTAATATAGGTAGACAAGTCTATGTACAATGAACTCGATGTTCTTTATTATAAAGTTTAATGTTCATCACGTTGTATGTTGTATTCGATTTGAGTCAATCGGGTCGTTGGCCTCCTGTTGGCTGATTCTCCTTAAAATGAAAATCGTTCATTCAGTATTATCTTGGTTTGTTTATACCAACTATGAGAACAAGTGTCATTACTGAAATTACAAAAATTAAACCCAATTAATAAAATCCCGTATGTTTTCATCATTATTATTATTGTTAGAAATTTACCAAAACCATTTAGAATTTTGCACTGCGGAGCTATTTATTAATCAGTAATATAAAAACTATGAGAACATAAAAACGTGAAAAATATCTTAGCAAAACAAATTATTAAAAAAACAAGAAAAATATTTGAGCCCAGGGGCTATTTACCAGAGATGAGAAGTACTGCAGAATACTAATCAACACTTAAGCTATATGGAAGTGTAAATTCTATAATTGGGATATTTCAAGTGACGTCCTTCATAGGGTTTATAAAAATGTAGTAAATGAACAAAATTATAAATATTTACAATTAAATTTTTGTTTATATAGCGATACATTACGTCATATTTACCGGAGACGGCTGTTTTTCCCCGTTTGGAGGGAATCACCCCGACAAGCTTTTATCAAGGGTTTACTGAATGTCAACGTCATCCTGAAAAAGGATTTAGTTATTGAAATTCGTTGCCTTACTTCACTTCCTAATCTCGTCGTACTTTATGTATAGATTTACGAAACCAATATGTAAACAAAAATAAATCATAATGAATGAAATAACTATTAAGGTTCCATTTTGTGCATTTTTTTTTGCACGAAATGGTTTTGTCTGTCTTCAGGCGTTTACTATTGAATTTTAATAATTTTAATTTATGCCTCTGCGTATTTTTCAACAACAAATAATTAGAAAAAATTTTGCTATAATAAATAAATATAAATAAATAAATAAATAACGCACACACTCAACATAGCCCCGCACTAGGGAAACCCTGTGTCGCGGGTGCCATGGACACACACATAGACAACCACAAATTACACCCAAACTCACGAGAGAAATAAATGTAAGCTATACAAACATTTCTCCCGGCCCGGGAATCGAACCTGGGACCTCTGCGTGGCAGTCCGGCATGGAAACCGTTCGGCCACGGAGGCAGTTAAAACTAGTGTAAGTAAACAGAGTTATCGAAATAGGCCAAGTTTTCTGCAATGGACATTGTATAGTGTGGAACAAAGGTGCGCTATGCTGACGAGAACCCCTTTATCAGATCATAATGGGCGACGCCACGTGATCAAACAATAGTGTTTACACTCGCCACAAGGACAACCTGTTGTACCTAACGTACTTACGTCCAGCACACAAAGATCTCGAATACTCGCCTATTGTTTTAACATCATGTCTCGATAAACTTGGCCGACTCTTAAAGCCAGTCTTGTCCGAAAATTGCACTAAATTGCTGAAATTGTTATTACCTAGATGTTTTTGCGTTCTCCGGGCGGACGTTATAATATTAGGTTTCACATGGCTCACTTTGTTTCAACGTTACGTTTCTTGAGATGATTTAAGTCTTTCTTTTTCCTATTGTGCTTCCTGCATTAGTTGAATTACCGTCGTAATATGGCTTGGTACAATGTTTACATTATCCAGGTAATGCATAATTTTCTTCATAATTACAAAGCGTTCACGACAATTTCCCATATTACAACTTTTATAGAATAGTGCAAGACACAACATTTTTTATTCCATAACGCACAAGTTGAAGAAATTATACTTCACAATAAATTAGAATTACAAAGAACTTAAAACCTAGCAAAATCTATGTACTATACCATATATATATATATGGTTTAGTATATATAGTTAAATTATATTTACATACTTCCGCAGTTCACCAAAACAACAGAACAATTCATAAGGAGCTGCGAGCAAACTACTAATTACAAAATAAACATCATAAATTTTGGTTTCCGAGTGTCACTTTCTTATTAACTTCCATTTTGAATTCATTAACACCGACCGAGACGCAACTGTCATTTATTTATCATTGTCGTAGCACCTGTGTCTTGCATTTTTTTTTGCTTTGAAGTTGATAGTATTGCAATGCATTCATTTTGGAGACGAGCGAGATGGAACATAGCCGTCTTTCATTAGAGTGACAAAGAATAATTAGTTTTATGGACGTAGGAAGCCCA